TAATGATGATGATCATGTAACTTCAGATCAAGTTACTACCGAACCTCGTAGGTCAACCAGAGTGAGATCCGCACCAGAGTGGTACGGTAATCCTGTTTTGAAGGTCATGTTACTTGACCATGATGAACCTACGAACTATGAGGAAGCGATGATGAGCCCAGATTCCGCGAAATGGCTTGAGGCCATGAAATCTGAGATGGGATCCATGTATGAGAATAAAATATGGACTTTGATTGACTTGCCCGATGATCGATGAGTCATTAAGAATAAATGGATCTTCAAGAGGAAGACAGACGCCGATAGTAGTGTTACTATCTACAAAGCTCGAATTGTTGCAAAATGTTTTTGACAAGTTCAAGGTGTTGACTACGATGAGATTTTCTCACTCATATCGATGCTTAAAAGTATATCCGAATCATGTTAGAAGTTGCCGCATTTTATGAAATCTGGCAAATGGATGTCAAAACTGTATTCCTTAATGGATTTCTTAAATAAGAGTTGTATATGATGTAACCAGAAGATTTTGTCGATCCTAAAGGTGCTGACAAAGTGAGCAAGCTCCAACGATCCATCTATGGACTAGTGCAAGCATCTTGGAGTTGGAATATATGCTTTGATAAAGTGATCAAAGCATATGGTTTTATACATACTTCCAGTGAAGCCTGCATTTACAAGAAAGTGAGTAGGAGCACTACAACATTTCTGATAAGTATATGCGAATGACATATTGTTGATCGGAAATAATGTAGAATTTTCTGGAAAGCATAAAGGAGTGTTTGAAAAGAGTTTTTCAAATAAAGACCTCGATGAAGCTGCTTACACATTGAGCATCAAGATCTATAGAGATAGATCAAGACGCTTGATAAGTTTTTTTAATGAGTACATACCTTGACAAGATTTTGAAGTAGTTTAAAATGGAACAGTCAAAGAAGGATTTTTTTAATGTAATCTTATGTTGCTCAGTATAGGTGCAAGTACAAGTTAGAGATGTGCAACTTTGCTTTAATCTGTACTCCCTCTTATAAACTAGTAATATAAGATGTTTTAGAACGCTTAGGAAGTATTTTCCATGTCCGAATTGTAAAACTACATGTCTTAACATGTTATTTGTGATAAAATTTCAAATGTAATAAACGTGGTAGAAAGAGGAATTCATCTCAAACATACATGGAGTGAGAAAAAAGAAAGATGAATCTTCTTTAATTAGCAAGTACTATATATACTTACAAAGAATACATGCCCTACTAGGTAAGTCCAGGTTGTGTTATCCGGTGGACAACAATGCTAGTTTATTCTACACGTTGATGAAGGGCGCGCCGGTGATCATCTCGGTGGCCGCCAGAGCGACGAGGCCAAGCATGGCGAAGCGTCCGTTCCAGAGCTCCGCGTTGGCGTTCATGATGGCGCCGGCTCTGCTCTCGACGCTCTCACCCTGGAGCAACGGAACCAACGACGCCATGGACAGCACCGCCACGGTGTAGGCGAACCACGCCTGCCCAGTGCCACTGCCAAGCTGCGAGAGGAGCCCATCGCCTCGGCCTGCCTCCACCGCGAGCGCCGTCATGAAGCCCACCATGGCTAGCCGCCCGTTGATGCGCTCTGGCGCAGGGCCGCTGAAGGCCATCGCGTCCCAGATCGAGGTGCTCGCCTGTGTCAAGAACAAATATCAGAAACGTGCCACTGGACTGAGATTAGCTACGACGCCATGCTGCCTACTCCCTCTGTTTTTAAATATAAGTCTTTTTAAAGATTCCAACAAGTAATTACATACAAAGCAAAATGAGTAAATTACGCTCTAAAATATGTCTATATGCATCCGTATGTTGTAGTTTATTTGAAATGTCTTAAAAATTTTATATTTAGAAACGAAGGGAGTATATGGCAATGCATACCTTGGGTTTGTTTGGCGGTGGTGCACTCGGGCCCTCGGTTTGTGCCCTGACGACGAGGGTACGTCGGTCCTGCGCTGGCAGAGACCGGGCGCCTAAGCCACCAGCCGAGCCTCGCGGCAGGACGGCGGCACCGACGAAGGAACTCATGGTCATCATGGTTGCCATTAGACAGCCGTGTAAGGTGCACGAAGGAGATGCTGCAACAAGCGATGAACCGGCTAGATGATTGCTAGTTGCTGTTTGTTGTGTCGCTGAGTGTGTGTTGGTGTATTGTTCGGAGCGAGCGGGCGCAATTTATAGGCCGTGCTCCACGAGAGCCAACCCGTGACGAGCTGGGCGTGGTGGCCGCGACGGTGCCCACGTCGCGAGCGGCTCTCGGCCGTGAATTTACCCTCTACGTGGAGAGCACGCGGACGTGGAGGCCACCGTGCATTGGCCGGAGGGCTTCCTGTCAAACACGGGCCAGTAGCTTCTGTCATTATTTTCCCCCTGTATAAACTTTCTCACGTCAATCCTTTTTTTTTTCGGGGCCGGGACTTACCCACGTGAACTAATCAAAAAACACTTTGAAGACACGGTGAAACATGATTATGTTACTATTGAGATTCAGACAAATTGACAATTCAAAAGAAATGAATCCAACGTTACTTTACTACCGAAATAGAAATCCTTTCCTCGCAAAAAAATAAATTAGAAATCCTTTTATTTTCATCTATCAAAGTGCATACAAGTCGTTGAAGTACCTGGAAGGTTTGATTAAAATTGTCAAGGAACCATTTATTTCTACAGTATCTGATTAGGCAATAGTAAATAGTAAGGTGAACAAAAATCAGATATACTAGGTAAAGGCCCAAAATTTTCTCGAATAGGAATTCTAGGATTAGATTCTTTTATCACATTTGGATGTTTTTGATTTTTGAATAAACCAATTCGAGCGCAGTTTGATGCCAAAAAAATCATCAAAGATTGGTATTCTTTATTTTGATTCAGTAAGGTGCTAATAGCTTCTTCATGTTGGCTAAGTGATTCACTCTCCGCCTTGGAATAAAGGGACTGATATTGGCAGAATTCTTAGAGTTAACTTGCTATTAGCATGAGAAGTAAAATTGACAAGTCAAACTTGGGAGTGAGGCGTTTTGGCTCCCAGGAGCATCTGCACCTGCGCTGAATAAAAAAAATCAAAAAATACTAGAAAAATTCATGATGTGCATGATGTCTGGTCCAATTTTTCGGAGTAGCTCTCGACAAAAAAGACAAATTTAGGGTCTGTTAAATAGTGTACTGTTTGTATACTGTTCTGACCCAATTTATCTTTTTTGCTGAGAGCTACTCAAATGTCGAAATGCTCTGAAATTTGGAGCGCACCTCACGCACCAAATTATCTACCATGCACAAAAAAAATGGATTTTTTTGAATTTTTTATGAATTATTTCTTAACCGGGTGCAAATGAGTCCGGGCTCAGAATTGGATATTCGCAAACTTGGGGCTTATGTTCTTCTTGCAAAAGATCATGCGGGAAAAGTGTTGCTAAATTTCTTCCTTCATCCATATCATATGCGGTTGTAGGGAAAACAGAAACAAAATAATTTTCCTTGATCCTGATTTTTTTTCCTGTTGAATGTTGACCGATTTTTTTTCTCTTCTTTCGATTCCTTTGAATCTATTTTTTTGTCTTTCTAGAGGTATCAAACAACCACCTAATATTTTATCTATCTCCTCAAGAATATGAATATTTCCATAAAATACTATGAGTTTCGTATGGCTTTCTTTTCTCTTCACTCGGACCAGTCTACCTAGTAGACTTCTCGTATTTTTGTTCTAGGTTGTGTATCCACTCCAATTATACTATTGTCAATTGTCAAGAAACTTTGGGAATGAAGATCTTGCCCAGATATACAGTTCTTGAAGAACGAATAGAAAAAGGTCAAATTGTTTTTGCACCTTAGACTAAATTCTTTTGTTCCTCGGTGCTCAATCAAACATTGTTTTTATGATGGAATCTTTCGATGGGCTATCGTATTCGTCCTCCAAGTTTTCCTCTAAAGTCCCATATTTGTCCTTCTACCTTTCCTCGGGGTTGGCATACTTTTCTTCTTCCTTTAGAGTTTCATATTCGTCCTCTTGGGTCATATATTTGCTCTATGGGCTCTCATATAACTCGTCTGAATCTTCCTATAAAGTCCTATACTCGTTCTCTGGGATCCCATATTTGTCTTCTAGAGTTTCATATTCACACTCATCCTTTAGGATTCCACGCATTTATATTCTTCTTGGGTTTCATATTCGTCATGTTGGGTCTTGTATATTCATCATTTACCGTCTCCTAATCCTCCTCTGAGTCTTCCTCTCTAGTCATATATTCATCCTCCAGGGTCCTATTTTCTAAATTTAAAATTTCTGAATCCATTTTGTATTTACAATAACATTATGCAATAAGAAAAAAAATAGTATTTCTACGCAAAACACCAACAAAAGGGGATTTCAATATAAATCCAGGATACAAGTTTTCTCTATTGTTCATGATGATATTGTACTGGAATGACGAAACGATTTCTTTGCTTTCGGCAACAAACCCGAATTATCCTGAAAAATAGAAGGATATATAAAATTCAAATGGTCGTATTAATTGCTAAATCATAGTGTGCATGAAATGTACTAGTTAATTGTAAGATCAAGTTTGTGCAAGTGGTACAATAGCAAAGTGAAGTTTAAGACTCACCTCTGAATTTTAGGACGCGGGATGAGCCAAGCATCCTACAAGTGACTATCGAGCATTTTTATCGAATCCAACCGTATAATATCATTTCTGATATCGACAAGGTACCTTTGTACGCCTATTACATCCCAACCCAGCTCTCATTTTTAAGAAGATTTTGGATGACAAACAATTCAGCTCCTGGTAACATATGAACGAGCAATTTTAACATCTTAGGTGGTAAGCGTAAAAAGAGGAGGTAAGAGGGACGTTAAAACTACTCATGATCGAGTATCTTTAATTAGTAGTACTACAAAGAATACGAGGATGATCAGTTCTCATCATTTACATGTCCTACTAGCTAAGTACAGGTTGTGCTATCTGGTCGACAACAAAGTTGTTTACGTTTAGTCTACACGTTGATGAAGGGCGCGCCCGTAATGATCTCGGTGGCCGCAAGAGCGACGAGGCCGAGCATGGCGAAGCGGCCGTTCCAGAGCTCCGCGTTGGCGTTCATGATGGCGCCGGCTCTGCTCTCAGCACTCTCGCCCTGGAGCAACGGCACCAAGGACGCCATGGACAGCACCGCCACAGTGTAGGCGAACCACGCCTGCCCGGTGCCGCTGCCGAGTTGCGAGAGGAGCCCGTCGCCGCGGCCTGCCTCCACCGCGAGCGCCGTCACGAAGCCCACCATGGCAAGCCGTCCGTTGATGCGCTCCGGCGCAGGGCCGCTGAACGCCATCGCGTCCCAGATCGAGGTGCTCGCCTGTGCCAGGAACAAATATCAGAAACTTTGCCACTGGACTGAGTTTAGCTACGGCGCCGTGCTGCCGATATGGCATGGCATGCATACCTTGCGTTTGTTTGGCGGTGGTGCGCTCGGGCCCTCGGTTTGTGCCCTGACGACAAGGGCGCGTCGGCCCAGCGCTGGCAGAGAGCGGGCGCCGAAGCGGCCAGCTGAGCCACGAGGCAGGACGGCGGCACCGGCGAAGGAGCTCATGGCCATCATAGTCGCCATTAGGCAGCCGCGGAAGGTGCACGAAGGACGCAAGAAGATGCTGCGACAAGCGATGAACCGGCTAGATGATTGCTAGCTGCTGTTTGATTTCTCGCCGAGTGTTTGTTGCTGTATTGTTCGGAGTAAGTGGCCACAATTTATAGGCCGTCCTACGGGTAAGCCAACCCGTGACGAGCTGGGCGCGGTGGCCGCGACGGTGCCCACGTCGTGAGCGGCTCTCGGCCGTGAATTTACCCTCTACGTGGAGCGACGCAGTGAGCACGCGGACGTGGAGACGGCGGGCTTCTTTCATAACCCGCCAAAATATCGAGGACTCCAGCACGGGCCAGAAGCTTGTGTCGAGGGCTCAGTGGTTCGGGCTTTGTCTCATTATTACTCCATTATTACTCTCACATGCAAACTAATCTTTTTTGTAAACTTTCTCACGTAAACTAACAAAAAAGCATTTTCGAGACACAGGCGGAACATGATTATGTTACTATCGAAAATTCGAAATTTGGACAAAGTCGCAATTATATATTTAAAAGAGATGGATCCAACATTACGTTATTATCAAAATTAGAAATCCTTTTATTTTCAACATTTATTAAAGTGTATATAAGTCCTTGATGTACCTGGAAGATTTGTTTCAAATTGTCAAGGAACAATTTCTTTCTACAGGATCTGATTAGGTAATACTCCCTTCGATCCATATTAATTGCCGCTGACTTAGTACAACTTTAACCGAAGGGAGTAGTAAATGGTAAGATGAAGCAAAATAGAGGCATTCTAGGATTAGATTCTTTTTTATCACATTGGGATGTTTCCCGTTCTTGAATAAACTAATTCGAGGGCAGTTTGATGCCAACAAAATCATCAAAGAGTGGTATTCTTTATTTTGATTCAACAAAGTGCTAAGAGCTTCTTCATATTGGCTAAGTGATTCACTCTTCGCCTTGGATAAAGGAATTGATATTGGCGGAATTCTTAGAATTAACTTGCTATTAGCATCAAAAATAAAATTGACAAGTCAAAGCTGGGTTTTTTTCTTGCAAGAGATCATGCAGGAAAAGTATTGCTATATTTTTTCCTTTGGCAATTTCATATGTGACAGTAGGGCAAACAAAAATGAAGTACTTTTCTTTGCTCATGAGTTTTTTTTGTTGAATATTGACCCATTTTCCCCATCTTCTTTTGATTCCTTTGAATCTATTTTTTTTGTCTTTCTAGTGGTATCAAACAACCGCTCAATATTTTATCTACCCCTTCAGGAAATGAATATTCGCACAAAATATTCGGACTTCCGTATGGCTTTCTTTTCACTTTACTCGGAGCAGACCACCTAGTAGACTTATTGTCAAGCAAATTTAGGGATGAAGATCTTGGCAATATGCAGTTCTTGAAGAACGAACAGAAAATGAACAACTTCTGTTTGGTATTTTGGAGTAAATTCTTTCGTTCCTCGATGCTCAATCAAAACTTCTTTTTATTATGAAATCTTTCTCTAGGCTCTCGTATTCGTCCTCCGAGTCTTCCTCTAAAGTTATCTATTTGTCCTCTGAGCATTCCTCGGGGTTGCCATATTCGTCTTCCGGGACTTCCTCTAGAGTTCCATATTCGTCATCTTGGGTCATATATATCCTTTATGGGCTCTTATATTCATCTTCCGAGTCTTCCTCTAAAGTCCTATATTCATTCTTTGAAATCCCATATTTGTCTTCTAGGGTTTCATATTCACAGTCGTCTTTTAGGATTCCGTATATTTAGATTCTTCTAGGCTTTCTTATTCTTCCTGTTGAGTCTTGTATTTGTTTTTTAGGGTCTCATAGTCCTATTTTATATTCTTGAACCCATTTATATTGACTGTATCATGCAATACGCAAAAATAAGGTATTTCTACTTAAAACACCCATAAAGGGCGATTTCGTAATCCCGAACATGATAATAGTTTTTATTCTCTTGTTCTTGATGATATTGTAATAGAATACTGAAATAATTTCTACGCCATTTGGCGTAAAAATCTGAATTATCATGAAAAATAGAAGGATGGATAAAATTTAATTGCTCGTATTAACTGATACTAAATCACAATGTGCATGAAATGTACTGTACTAGTTAATTGTAAAATAAAGTTTGTGCGAATGCTACAAGAGCACAGTATGAAATGTACTGTACTAGTTAATTGTAAAGTCAAGTTTGGGTTAATGCTACAAGAGCAAAGTTGAGTTTAAGATTCTCTCTCCGAAATTTAGGATGCGGGATTAGCCATGCATCCCCTATCTGACTATCGGCCATTTTTAAGGAATCCAACTGTATAATTCCATTTTTGATATCTGAGACAAGGTACCTTCATAAGGCTATTATATTCCAATCCATCTCTAATTCAGCTCCGGGTAGCATATGAACTATGTATCTTTAATTAGTACTATAAAGAATACGAGGATGATCAGTTCTCATCATTTACATGTCCTACTAGCTAAGTACAGTTTGTGTTGTCCGGTCGACAACAAAGCTGGTTTTACACGTTGATGAATGGCGCGCCGATGATGATCTCGGTGGCAGCGAGCGCGACGAGGCCGAGCATGGCGAAGCGGCCGTTCCATAGCTCCGCGTTGGCGTTCATGATGGCGCCGGCTCTGCTCTCGGCGCTCTCACCCCGGAGCAACGGAACTAGCGACGCCATGGACAGCACCGCTACGGTGTAGGCGAACCACGCCTGCCCGGTGCCGCTGCCGAGCTGCGAGAGGAGCCCGTCGCCGCGGCCTGCCTCCACTGCAAGCGCCGTCACGAAGCCCACCATGGCCAGCCGTCCGTTGATGCGCTCTGGCGCAGGGCCGCTGAACGCCATCGCGTCCCAGATCGAGGTGCTCGGCTGTGCCAGGAACAAATATCAGAAACGTGCCACTGGACTGAGATTAGTTACGGCGCCGTGCTGCCTATATGGCATGCATACCTTGGGTTTGTTTGGCGGTGGTGCGCTCGGGCCCCCGGTCTGTGCCCAGCGCTGGCAGAGACTGGGCGCCGAAGCGGCTAGCCGAGCAGCGCGGCAGGACGGCGGCGCCGGCGCTGGCAAAGGAGCTCATGGCCATCATGGTCGCCATTAATCAGCTGCGGACAGGAGGTGCACGAAGGACAGAAGAAGCTACAGATGCTGCAACAGGCAAAAAAAAAACTGCTAGATGATTGCTAGTGGAGTGCTACTTGCTGCTGTGTCGCCGAGTGTTGTTTACTGATGTATTGTTCCGTGTGAGAGGGCACAATTTATAGGCCGTGCTCCACGCAAGCCAACCCATGACGAGCTGAGCGCGGTGGCGGCGACCGTGCCCACGTCGCGAGCAGCTCTCGGCCGTGAATTATCCTCTACGTGGAGCGAACCAGTGAGTACGCGGACGTGGAGGCCACCATGCTGAGGGCAACGCCAAACTGCAGACAGACAAGTTGGAAGCTTGTGTCGTCGCACAGATCTTAAAGAGGCACGTGTGGACCAGAAGCTTTTTTTTAAGCTCGTGTGGACCAGAAGCTGAACTTTGGCATTTTTCTTTGTTTCTTACTTTGGTTTTCTTTATTTATATTTGATTTTTTCTTTTCCTTTTTCTAAACAAAACACATTTCTATACATTGTACATTTTTAGTATACATGAGGAATATTTTTGATACATGTCTAACATTTTCCAAATACTACATGGTTAAAAAATAACTATATAATTTGATGTCTAACTGTTTTCATACACATTATGCATTTTTGGTATACATAAAAAACGTTTTTATACATGTTTAATATTTTTTAAAAAAACTTTATTAATCTTTCTTTCAAATACTTGTTTTAAAAAATGAATAAGTGTTAAACATTTTTCAATACAAGCTGAAACATTTTTTTAATGGTACAAAACTTTTTTGTAAAAACTATGCAAACATTTTATTAAACAATATAAACATGTTTCAAAATTTCAGAAACATATTTTCCAAACGCGTGAACATTTTTTATATGTAAATTACATTTTTTGAATGGTACAAAACATTTTCTTTAATTATATGGAAAAAATACAATGAATAATATTTGCAAAAAATATCACATACATTTTTTAAACTCGTGAACTTTTTTCTGATGTCACAGACATTTGTTAGTGCTTAAATTGTTTTTAAGAAGTTATACTAACAAGATATATACACTGTGTTAACATTTACAAATTCGCAGTAAACTTTAAAAAAAAGTATATTAAGTTTTTAAATACATGTACTACTCCCTCCAATTCTATGTATGTGTCGTGGTTTAGTTCAGATTTGAAATAAAATCACGTCTCTTATTTTATATCGGATAAAGTATAATATTTTCAAGAATATAAACAAAAAGAATAAGAGAATAGAAAAAACTATTAACAAAATTGATGTATGTGTACCTGCATGATTATGAGCCGGACCATTTCGGGTGTCCTTGAGGCTAGACGTTGCTTGTGTCTCGCCGATTCCACCAAACATTGTGTGCATATTGGTGCCGTTATGCAACATGAGGATTTGTGTGCAAACAAACTGGTGCAGTACATGGCCCAAAGCATGTATTCCCCGCAGGATCTACCAGGCCAACTTCCAAGGAAGCCGAAAAATAGTGCTAGTAATCAAACACGTCCTAAGAAACTAGATGATACTACACACGTTGTTGCGAAATATTTTGCAATGTATTTTTAATAAAGATTGGTTGTATGAAACATGCATATTTGGAGTAATATGAGAACTAAAACTAAAAATGCATATGATTCATTGTGTTTGATTATTTTATTATCATAAAATATTTATTAAATTTAAATATAATAACAAATTTAAATATTTATTAAATATAAATATCATAATAATTGAAGATTCTCATGCATGTTTGCATGTTGAGGTGAAGTTTTTTCCATGCATGATACATGATGAGATGACATGCTTGCATATGAGAGAAATGTGATAGTGAGGAGTAACTATTTAAATATAGAAAAATAAGGATCGTCTTCTTTTTGCATCCACCCACGGCATGACATGAGCAGTACACATGGTTGTCTCAAGATCTCTGTCTGGCCGGAGTTTCAACAAGCGGAGATAAACCTGGAAAAAAATGTTGTGATCCCATCCCCTTCGTAGGACATGTCGCCGTGAACAAATGCTAAGCACACCAAACTGAGTGTCTAACAATCGATACGACTCGTCAACACAACCCTGAGGATGAACATAGATATGGGGCAAGCCAAAGAACCATTGTTACCATTGTCGTTTTCGCTCCAGCTTACCATGATGAAAAACTCAAAAACCCTATGAAAAACGGACCAAGAGACTCGGATCTGGGTCCCCTCATTCTCTGACCGCCACAACGATTTTTGGAGGCAAGTGGAACCTGTGATGGCACCCGCGGGTCGAGGGGAAAAGATAGGCTCCTCCTCTTTGGCAACCCTTAGAAAAATGATTCCTAGATAACGACCTTTTTTTTACTACATTGTGTTTCGTGTTTAAAATAAAATACAACAGCGGCAACAATTTCATCTCTGAATAGATGACTTTACAATCTGAACATTCCCACTGTTTGTTTTTGTGTTGCGGAAATGATTCATTGGCGTGTTTTTCCCTTGTGTTGCGGAAATGATTCATTGGTGTGTTTTCCCTTGTGTTGCGGACAGTGCCATAGCCAGAATAGCCGCACACCCAAGGTCATCCTCGTTGCTACAGTGTTTAGTGTAGCTACAGTGCACTCACGTAGCTACAGTAGCGAACATTTTCATCAGCACGGCCCTGGTAGCCCGGAGCCTGGCTACGCCCCTGGTTGCGGAAGTGTTTTAGCTTTTTCTTCATACAAATTGATTTTGTGAGAGTACACCTGCCCAACCATTTTCTGCATTTTAAATTGCCTTAGATGATTTACTGGTTTTTGCTTTGATTTCTGATGCCCATGCCAAACTAATGTGTGAAAAATGAGGACAACTCAATCGGGCATTGGTTATTTACATGTTAATTTGTGTTGGGCAGTATACTTGGAAAAGTGGAAAAATGAAGGACATCACTCCCTTTTCCACCTCCATCTCATCGTCGAATAAGGGTTCTCCAGTTCCTTCTCCATTTGGTCATCATCTTCAATGCCGGCGAGGAGCGCGGATTATTTTTTTCCTGACGATCTGCTGGATGGGGCGGGTGGTGTGAGCGGCAAGGTGGCATCAGTGAGATGGTGGAGCCGGTATTGAGAGGCCTTTCGTTCTTCCAGCTTCCCCTTTGTCATGGTGGTGGCCCTCTCGGCGCTATCGCCAAGCTTGGAAGATTGTGTAGGTGCATGTGTGGTTTGTGGACTCCGGATCTGTTGGTTCTCGTTGGTATGGGCGTCTCGATAAGCCGGCGCAAGTGGTGGCACTATGTCGATCCGGATCTTCTTCGACATGCTGGCCTATTGGGCCAAGGATGGTGACTTCTCGTCGTCAGCAGTCCGTGCGCATGACCAAGGTTATCATTGGCTCTGGAAGGGAGTGGTGGCGCCGGCGGCGGCGGTGTGCCCTCATCCCGCGTCGACGATGTTTCTGGATTGTTTCTTCAAAATGTTCGTTGTAATTTCCTTATTTTGCGGGGTGCGTTGTACCACTGCTTACTTTTAATATATGGTCCTTTTCGTAAAAAAATTAAGGAAGAAAACGATTATAAGTTTTTTAAAGAGATTATATTTCAAAGAAGACTTGCCCGCGAAAAAAAAAATCAAAGAAGACGAAAAGGATAAAGGAGTAAATAAGGACCAAAAACAAGTACCCCAGCCGCTGCCTTGACGGAGATGGCGTTCCCGGTGGCTGTCCCACGCCCGAGACCCATCCTCCGTCTGGACCGTCTCCACCTCACCCCCATCCGCGCCGCCGCGGCAAGAACCCCCGTTCCCCAGCCCCTCCCCGACGAGCTCCAGCTCGTCGCCGACGTCCGCTCCCCGCACAACCACATCCGCGTCGCCGACGTCTCCCCGCGCGCTGCCGGCCACCCCCTCGCCGGCGCGCGCCTCCTCCTCCTCGACGGCCCGGGCAACATCCACTCCGTCTCCTTCCCTCGTCGCCCCTACTGCCCCCTCACTTCCACCTACTTCGACGTCTTCGCCACCCTCCCGCCTCTCCTCCCGCGCCCATCCCTCGCCGTCCTCGGCTTCGGCGCGGGCTCCGCCGCGCGCGCCCTCCTCCATTTCTACCCGGACATATCCGTCCATGGCTGGGAACTCGACCCCTCCGTCATCGCCGTCGCCCGGGACTTCTTCAGCCTCGCGGAGCTCGAAAGGGACCACGCCGGCAGGCTGGTCATCCACGTCGGCGACGCGCTGGAGGCCGAGGCCGTGCCGGGGGGCTTCGGCGGCGTGCTGGTGGATCTGTTCGCCAACGGGAGCGTGCTGCCGGAGCTCCAAAAGGCGGACACTTGGCGCCAGATAGGCGCGATGGTAGCGCCGGGAGGGAGGATGATGGTGAACTGCGGCGGGGGCTGCGTGGAGGCGGAGGAGGAGGGGAGAGACGGCGAGGCAGTGAAGGATGCGACGCTGCGGGCGATGGTGGCAGCGTTCGGGGAGGGAATGGTGGCGGTGCTGAGCGTGGATGAAAGTTGGGTGGCGATGACAGCGCCGGTGGCGCGGGCATCGGAGGAGGCGGCGGCGTGGAAGGCTAGGCTGCCGCCGGAGCTGGGCCACTATATTGACATGTGGAAGCCGCACAATGGCAATGGTGATGCATGAATAGATGGGGATTATGCAGTGGTTCTCTGTGCAAGAATGCAGAGTGATTCCTGTAAGTAAGCGCACCACATTACTGAATTCTTCTTGTCCCTATTACCTATACATTCTTGGAATTTATTGACTAGTGACTAACAGGGCATGCCAACTAGAGAAAATGAAACTATATCTAAGCTATTTAAAATGTAATTGTCACAAAATGAGTGGTCTAAATCTATGACAAATTGTTTTTTCTGTGGTATGGAACTATGGATAGTGTCTGCTGAAATCTCTAATAACCAGATGGTAAATCAATGTGTGTGATCACAAATGTGAATTGGCAAGAAAGAAAGATTCTAAAGGCACAACAAGATTTCAGATCCGATGAGCTGTCAGTTATTTTAAAACCTGTTCAAATCACAATTTAATAGTTCAAAATTTCGGTATTATCTCAAATGTGGAGGAGAGCAAAGGTGTTGTGTTTCATTGTTTAAGATTTGTTAGTGGAGTTCGTGCAACTAAATATCCCCGCTTCACTGGTATGTAGTTATTCAGAACGATTGTGGTAACTGATAACAGCATAAAATCCAGATCTCTTCTGTACAAACTGTAGTGATTTATTTGTTACTAACTTCTGTTGTGCTGATTTGGTATTTGCCGTCTAAGATGCAAACTTGTAGATTTTGACAGTACAGTTCTGGAAGAGAAAATATTTGGGATTTTTCAGCTGCTTTCTCAATTAAGTCACACATTGCATGCTGCATTTTTGTACCTAACTTTAATGTCAAGTACTCCCTCCGTTCACAAATACTCCCTCCGTCTCAAAATAAGTGTCACTGATTTAGTACAACTTTGTACTAACTTTGCACTAGATCAGCGACACTTATTTTAGGATGGAGGGAGTATAAGATGTTCTAACTTTTTTCTGAATCGGGTGTATATAGACACGCATTAGTGTGTTTGTCACTCATTTCAGTCCTACGTAGTCCATATTATATCCAAAACATCTTGTATTTGTGAACGGATGGAGTAGTTAACTGACCTAGTTTAAAAGACCAAGGATCACATCCTTTTTAAGCTCAAGGGAAAAAACAGAGCCACATTGGAAGGCAAGATGTAACAGTCTAAAAGGTTACATTGAACTTCATATGTCGATGTGTGGAGACAATTCCCTGCAAAAAGCATCAAACTGCGTATGATTATAGCAAGTTAACCCTGTTGGTATTCCTTTTTTCTCCTTTATCTTTATTTTTCAAGCGTTGACCATTCCCTTCAACAGGCACATCAAACTGCAGATGATTATAACAAGCTTTCAAAAATTGGCTCAGACACTACATGTTGCGTTTTTTCCAGCAATTTTCACGTCTTCGGTAGCTAAATTATCTACTCCTCTCTACAGACATTAATTAAGCCCTGACAAAAACAGAGTCGGCATAGACAGACTTCATGTAAATGGATATTTGAGGAAACAGAAAACAGTTAGTTTGCTATCTAGTACTCCCTCTGTCCGGAAATACTTGTCCTAGAAATGGTTGTATCTAGACTTATTTTAGTTATAGATACATCCATTTTATCCATTTTTAAGACAAATATTTCCGGACGGAGGGAGTACTTGATTAAGACAATTAGATTTAATGCTAGTTTCCCTCTTTAATAAACTCAACAAAGAACAGAAAAGATGTGCTGCATGGAAAAGTCCCACCCAACAGCTTGTAAAGTTGCATTTCGATTTAAAGCATGCATTGCAACAGCCGATTCCCTCCAAAATGCGTCCGAACTAGTTGACCTTTACATACGCATTCCTTGTGCTCTTTTATTCCCCTTTTCATGCAAAGAAAGACAAGGTTGTTCTTTCCTTCCTCCTCATCTTTTCTCCTTTGATCCCTTTCCTTTTTCGCTTTTGCTCCTGCCCACACGCCTGAGTAAAACTATTTTCGCCCCCAAACCGAGCGCTTTGCCTTTGCATCTTGCTAATCATGCCCTTCAGCGTTCTTGAAAGAAGGCAAAGCTTGCGCTAATGGATCGGAAAGAGCTCATCTCCCTCTTTTCATTTCCCGTGCAACTTCCTCAGATTCCTCTCCCGTGCACTGACTGACTGTTTCAGTAGCATCTCTCCTCTTTCTTTCTATGCTTTGGCAAACATCTTTTTCTGTTCCTTTTCACTGGCTTATAAACACAGGCGTTGCATTGCACAGTCGGGCTGTCGTATCGATCCGTTATCGCTTGAAGTTTCGGCTACCTAGCTAACTGGTAGAGTAGTGCGTACGTGCAGGACCTTCCTCTTCTTTCACATCCGTTCTTTGTTCTTTGATTTGAGATTTGAGTTGACACTTGTAACTCTGTTTGTTTTTCCGTTTGCAGGCAGGGTGCAGCATGGGTTTTCAGAGAAAGATTCTTCTGCCCGAGAGAGCCACCATCCAGAAGACCGACGCTGGAACTCTGCAGCCGCTGAAGATGAAGCGGCCTCGTGACGGTGAGGACGAAGGCGCTTCGGGGCCGCTGACGCCGACGGCGAACAGCGCAGGGACCGCGCATCCGCGCTGCCCGCCGGCGCCGCCGAAGAAGCCGAGGCTCGTGCTGGGGTGCAGCCTGGACGGGTTCAAGGTTGTGAGCATCATGGACTTGCGTTGCTTCCTTCGTTGACGAGCCACCTTGCTTGCTTGTTTGTTTGTCTTTTTAGTTAGAGAAGAGAGGGGGTTTTGTTTTGGTGTTTTTGTGCTCTTCAACTCTTCTTTTTAACCGGAATAAGCCTGTACATTTGCAATGAATAGCTGTGCGTCAAGAGCAATGGATCGGTTTCAACAGTCACCCGTGTCATTCATTCCCAATCCCTGGGTTTCAGCATTCACTGCGTCTTGGACGATAATGGAGCCAGGAATTGAGTTTATCCGAAATGAATACGCAAGTCTTATTATATCTTTCTGAACACGGTAAGGTCTTAATTTTTTGTAAGGCATTAGATCAAGAAACGTATGCATTAGATCAAGAAAGTTTACCGGTGCTTTCCTGCCTGCAAAGGTTCCGCTTCCGCGCATGTACACACGTGTTTCTCTAAGATGTTTCCATTAGCTCGCGCTAGAAACAAAGCCCGAATTTAACACGGTGCTGCGCTTCTGGTCCGTACCGTAGGTGCTGGAGTCCGCGGATGCTTCCCAACTTTTCTAGAGTATCTGTTTGGCGTTTCATGATGAAGCCCTTGTCCGCACGTCCGCTCCCTCGCTCCACGTAGATGGTAACCCACGGCCGGGAGCAGCTCGCGACGTGGGCACCGCCGCGGCCACCGCGCGCAGCTCGTCACGGGTTGGCTCTCGCGGAGCACACGGCCTATAAACTGTGCCCCCTCTCTCGGAACAATACATCAAGCAAACACTCAGCGACACAACAACAATCAGAAACTGTACTAGCAATCATCTAGCCGATTCCTTGCCTGCTGCAGCATCTGTAGCTTCCTTCAGTCCGCGGCTGATTAATGGCGACCATGATGGCCATGAGCTCATTCGCCGGTGCCGCCGTCCTGCCGCGCGGCTCGGCAGGCCGCCTCGGCGCCAGGTCTCTACCAGCGCTGGGCCGGCGCGCCCTCGTCGTCAGGGCCCAGACCGAGGGCCCCAGCGCACCACCGTCAAACAAACCCAAGGCGAGCACCTCGATCTGGGACGCGCTCGCATTCAGCGGCCCTGCGCCGGAGCGCATCAACGGACGCCTTGCCATGGTAGGCTTCGTGACGGCGCTTGCAGTGGAGGCAGGCCGCGGCGACGGGCTACTCTCGCAGCTCAGCAGCGGCACCGGGCAGGCGTGGTTCGCCTACTCTGTGGCGGTGCTGTCTGTGGCGTCGCTGGTGCCGCTGCTCCAGGGCGAGAGCGCCGAGGGCAGAGCCGGCACCATCATGAACGCAAACGCGGAGCTCTGGAACGGCCGCTTCGCCATGCTCGGCCTCGTCGCTCTGGCGGCGACCGAGATCATCACTGGCGCACCCTTCATCAACGTGTAAAACTAGCTTTGTTGTCGACCGGATAACACAACTTATACATAGCTAGTAGGACATGTAAATGATGAGAACTGATCATCCTCTTATTCTTTGCAGTATATACTAATGGGATATATATATTTTTTGTCCTTCAACTTTACCGGTAGTTTAGAAATGGTCTCAAAACTACAAAACCAGAAAAACCTAGTCCCTCAATTGTCGAAACCAGGTCCAGCGAGCCATGCAGCCGTGCTGAGACTGCTGGTGCCGCGACGCAGGAGCCCGAGATGGCATGTGCATGGCGCCCTTCGTGATGTGCGACCCTGTTTCCCTGTGAATGCGCTGGCGCTGCCGTCCGAGGACGTGGGCACTGGCACATGGCCACCGTGCACTACTTTGACAACCACGGAGTGGAGCGCGCCGTCACAACGGTGTACGACCAGCAGCAGGCACTAGCAGCCACCGCTAGCTCCCGTGTGGAGACGCCCTGAGGCCAGGCCCATGGTAACCATGTGTGACTTCTCCGGCCTGGGTGAGAGAGAGAAGATAGAAGAAGAAGACGAAGATGAGTTGGATGATGATGTGGCAAGTTCAGTGGTCAAAACCATGCCACATCAGCACAAAATCACCTGAATCCGTTTGAGGGACGAAAAATATCCGGTTTTAATAATTGAAGGACTAGATTTTTTTGGTTTTGTAGTTGAGAGACCATTTCTATACTATTGATAAAATTGAGGGGCGAAAAATATACTTTTCCCTATACTAATTAAAGACGGCCTATTTTTTTCTCACTCGAAATCTTGTTAATTATCTCTATTACTCTATATGTTGACATACATTCATCTTTCTACCGTCGAATGTTCGAGGAATTTTTGATAAAGTTTAATCCGGAAGAAGAGTAGATAAAACATGATTAACATAGTACTCCCTCCGATCCATATTACCCCACAAAGAAACAGGAGGCTTGCGAGTAGGGATGAAAGCCGGGAATTGGCAGCATGGCAGACGTGCGCGGCGGCTCTGGCAATGGTACACGAGGAGAGGTCGATTAGCCCATGTTGGCCTGGGTTTAACCCTAGGTAGAGCAGGGCCTTCCTAGTTGCTGCAGCGACTCTGGCAATGTTTTCCTCTTGCTATACGGCGGCGATGACGACAAGCCCGTGCTAGCCTGGGCTTAACCCTAGGTAGAGCAGGGCCTCCCTCGTTGTCGCAGCGACTCTAGCAATGTTTTTCCTCTTGCTGTGCGGCGGCGGCGGACGCGGCTTCAAGCTTGCAGTCCTACGAGTGCCTCCGGCCCTTCTTCCTCTTAGGCCGACTGCACGACATGCTGCTCATCCGTCAACGACTTCTTCTTGGTCGGCACCACCGTCTTGTGGGCTACGTGGGGCTTGCCTTTGGCGGAAGCAGGCCGGAGGCAGCGTCGAGGATCGGCATGTCGTTCATGACGAGCGGCCGGAAGCGTGAGTAGGCGGGAATTTTTTGGGAAAGAGAGGGAAATGAGGGTGGTTGTGCCGCCGACTAGCAGACTAAGGGGAGGAGTAGGCAGGCGTTGTAGGTGCCAACGCAAACAAGGGTCTAAATTTGAACCAGGATGATCGCGCGACGGACAAAAAATAGATGCAGGCCACGTTTAGATCAGCGTCTTGGACTGTCATTTATATCCGTTTGGACCCAAACAAAGAGGACCAATTAGTCCGCGTTGGAGTTGCTCTGAGGCCCGTGTCCCACATCGCGCGCGCAAGGTGTCCGCAATTATTTCCCTGTTCGCGCGCAGCTCGGCGAGTGGCGGGCGTGGAGGTCGCCTGCGCCGCCGACATCGCAGCGACTCTCCGGCTGTGCTCTGCTCCACCACCCAACCACCCTTTCGACGTACTAGTCCAGAAGGATTCAGCCGGCTGTTACTGGAGCCCGCGCCGTGCCGCGCCCGTGCAGGTACGAGCCTGCTCAGTTCTGCAAATCCCGGAACTCTTGGTCTAGCCCCCGCAAAACTCTTCTCTTTCTAATTTTGGGGTATGTTTTCCCAAGGATGTCCTACATGCTAGTACATGGTGAAAAATACCAATTTTGAAAATACCAACTTTGCGCCAAACATGAGTGTAGCTGAACTAAGCCAAAACCAGATGTCTCATTGCACGCCAGGTGTTTGTTAGAATGCCGATTCGTGGATACACTCGAATTATGTCTGTTTTTGCTGTGAAACAATGCCCGCATCTGCGGCAACCCCTAAATCCCTAAACCATCCAAGGAGCCAACATGTGACAAGCTGTACGGGACTGAAGTTCATGACAAAAAAGAATGTAGTAAACAGTTGAATAAATGGTTCAGTTCAATCAGGTCTGAATAGGGTATACACACGGAAATTACTACGAACAATGACCGGACTGGGGCTAGTGCTGACAAACTGGATGCCCAGGATAAGTTGAACTTTATGTATGGGCATAAACATAATTAGCTGTTGTATGTCGAGCTAATTCAGGCCAATCCTTTACCATTCTAGAAATTTATTCAGCTGGAGACTGCTTTATGCAATACCAGCTCAAATGAGCTAGAAACAACTTGAACTTGAAACAGGTGCCACTCATGTGCTAAGACTTCTGCGGCCGGTATCAGCGACAGTCGAACCATCGCGCGTATGGTCACTTGTTTGTTGACCTATGACTTCTTCGACCCTGACAAGAGACAGTTGAACCATCCCTCCTCGAGCATCTTCACTTGTTTGTTGACCTGTCTCTTCTTGGACCCCCATAGGAGACTGTTGAACCATCGCTCCTCCAGCCTGCTCGCCTCCATTTCCTTGTGCCTGCTCCCCATTTTGGCCAGGTTGCTCGCCTCCAGCCTGCCCGCCTCCATTTCCTTGTGCCTGCTCCCCATTAT